AGTAGAAAAATTTGGTTGAAACCCTATGTGAATATATTTTAATACACTCTAAAACTCTTGTTTTAAGGTTTTTGAAAATCAACCCTAAACAGTCTCATGCTGATGAGATTTCAGCATGGAGTAATTGGATTTGAATGCTTCCAAGCCACATAAAATATGTTTTCAGAGACCATCTATGTAATAATGTTTCTCCTCACCCCACTAGCTAATAGGTCAGTGATTATTAACAGTGGTGTTAATATTAACTGAGCAAGCCTACAACAGAAGTATTTGTGCACCTAAGAACTCTTTCTTCTATTGTTGGATATCGGGAAAAAATAGAAAGTGGTGGTTTTAAGGAGGTTTGTTGTTCATGCTGTTGCTGAGAAAAAGGATTCCTAGCTTAGTGGGAACAACCTTTTTGGGAGGTGTGCCACTCATTAGCCCTACATCCTTCTTGAGTGTCACTTTGTTCCCTTTCCTCTACCCAATTGGCTGCTCTGCTTTTTGCTTCCTACCCTCTGCCACTGTGCTGCCTGTCCCCTCCCCAGTCTGCTGAATGCCACACAGAGGCGGTCTGTGCCACAGGTTGACCACCCGTGTCCTAGCAGATGCTTGTCAAAGGGTCCTGGTTCACAAGTGCTTACATACATTTTGGATTGGAAGCTTGTTGACTTCAGTGGGGCTTGGATTCAGAGTAATTATTCACCCATGGTTATCTGCAGGATTGCGGCCAATCCAGCATAGTCTCAATTAAATGCAAACAGTCCAGATGTGAAATGTATAATACTTTGGATAGAATAATAGTCTGGATAATTGAGTTAATTTTTGTCAGTGATTTGTAGAGTGTTTCATACAAGATGTGAATTGTTGAGGAGGAATATGGATTAAGATAGGCGAGTGTTTTGAGACATTTAGTAAAGGCATCTGTTTTGAATGTTCGCTGGGTGCTCTGGATAAAGGTATTGAAATTAGAGGGAAGAAAAGGTGCAAAGGAACCTCTGTAGCTTTTTGCTGGCTGTTTTGTTTGAGCTAGTTCAGCTGTTCCTTCTTAACCTCCAAGAACCAATTTAGAAATCTTCAGTTTAAGAAGCTATGCAGTCTGTTGCAATCACTTGTTTCATTGGAAACTGTTATGAAAGGTTTCAAGTACATGGACTTAGTGGGTGTGCTAGGCAGCCTAATAATGCGCTGATTTATAGGGAGCTTCTGTAGGGATCCAAGATTACAAGCTGTTGGAAGTCAAAACCTGGCTTCTAAGCAAATCTCTAAATCTGCACAACAAGACTTTAGCTGCTGCAAGGAAGCCTGTGTAATATGGAGTGAAAACTGCTGAGCTTTTCTCAGGCTTCTGATTTCTTAAAGTTATTTTTCTTCCATTGCTCCACATAACTTCTTATATGTCTAAGTATTGTAAATGAAGTAGTCATGCACCTGTTCACCTCTTACATTGGGTGATCTTAAATCTGGAGCCAGGGAGAGTGCAGTACACTGGGGCAGATTTGGGAGGTTCTAAAATCATGGTTGTAGTCTCTGGATTTCCTGGCAAAACCCATTAGCTTTCTGATGGATTGGTTTTGTGGGCTCGTGCCTGGTAGAGTTCATAACTTGCTATTGAACTGATTTTTCTTTAAACTGATTTGTTTTGTATCTGTCCTTAAAGTGTAGAATAAGCCATTTTGGTTGTATTATATATTGACATATTTATAATTGAGGTCATGCTGAGGTATAAGCACCAGGAATCAAAGCCAAGTTTGAGTTTATAAACTGTAATTCTGCATTTACTGACATTTAAATGTTTGATTTCTTGCCCTTACGGTGTTGCATTAACTCTGTCCTGCTAGCTAGGCTAAGTACAGACAGTCAAAAAGCCCGAGGCTGAATCGATTCAGTCTTTGCAGATTAGTCTAAACTGCAGAGATTAAACTGAGAAACAACTGGACAGACATTCACCTTTGATTCAGGAAATGCAGCCACATGCCTGCAGTGGCTCAGGCTAGAAGGTGGGGGGGGGGGGCTGGAGCACGGCTCTCTGGCACATAGCCAGCATGGGCTGTGTGTTCGCTTCCTCTTTCTCGTGCCCCCCAGTGTCTCTGTGATTTGCAGTCCAGAATCACAGCAGCAGGACTCTGCAGGGTTGCCCCATCATGTCCTCTTCCTGTTTCCAGGTGCCTCTGGGATTTGTCGTCCACATTTGCAGCCAGCAGTAAGTTTTTAGCAGGGCAGGGCATCTCTGTACTCGGGGGAAGGGAAGTTTAACCCTGTTCCCTGGCCCTAGACCCCAGCCAGGGTTTGCCTTGGTGGGTGGGTGGGCCAGTCCCTGCCTCCTTGCCCCCAGATCTTCTCTGCTGGAGCAGACAGCACAGCCCAGGCCAGGGCTGGAAAGCATACTGGGATGCTGGGGGACTGTGATTTAACTTGAACCAGGAAGGGATCTGGGACAGAAGTTTCATAAACCAGTTTGACCCAAATCAGTTAAGTCTGGTACTAGTGTCAGTCATTTTGAAACTGGTTTATGTTCGCTGACCTTCTGTTCTCTTACAGGTTTAAACCAGTTTCTGATGACTTAAACTGGTTTATATGTAACTTCTATCCCTAGCCCCTGTGTGTTCTTTAAACAACTGTCATCCACATTAAAGACAGTGTTGTGTTTAATGTCATTCTAGTTTAAAAAAAAAAAAAATCTTAAAAAAAAAAATTATCTTAATCAATAGGTTTCTAAGAGATATGTTTCCTCAAATAGACACATTGGAGGGAAAGGGTTAAAGTGAAATGCAGCTTTAGATTGTAACATTGCTATAATTGTTCCCTGCCTCAGCTGATATTGTATTGTGGGGTGGGTCCTAAACCCCCCATCCGGCTGTTACTAAAAGAGCGGAGGTAATTATCAGACTATTTCCTATTTCAAAATGACACTCCCCAATGCCCCCCTTTTCACACAGGTATTGAAACAAATTCTGGGGAGCATAAAGGCCCCTTTCCTCCCATTCTGCTTCAGTTGATATTCAGATAATAAATTAAATGCTCTGTGTACATTGGGCATCCTACGGTGCACATTTTAATGGTGAAAGTGACTAGATTAGGATTTAATGTTTTAGAACTAGATCAGTATGTCTCACTGCTGGCATAATTTGTTAGCAAACGATCATATTCCTAGTGTTGCCATGGCTGAAGTGTTACTTGACTGGATATGTGAGGCTTATAGAAAAATGACTTTTCTATTCTTACCTTTTTCCTTATTACTTTCCTTTCTACCCTGGGACTGTTCTCTTTTTAATGGGGGGAGGGGGAGTTATCTTAATAGGCTTTTTCTGGGTGTCCTAGTGCCTTCCTCTGAGGGAAGTAATGGCTAATAAATCAGGAACAATTCAAATTCAGATCATACCCAGCGCTTGTTTCAAAGTACTTGACAAACATTCATTCTTAAAGCACCTCTGGAATAAAAGATTGTTGAGTTGGTGCATATGTCCCTATTGTGCATATAGGAAAACAAGCACAGACAGAATAAAATTTCTTGTCCAAAGCCCATCACGAAACCTTAAACCCAGATCTTCCCAGCGTCAGTTGTGTGTGTAGTTCACTAGATTACGTTGCTTTGTCATTTTTTTTATAACCAAATGGAGGCATATTATTGAAAGCTACTGTGAGGGTCTGAGGGGTCTGTCAGAAAGCACCGTAGATATGCACCTTTAGAGACAAACTAAATAAATCAGAGCACAAGCTTTTGTGAACTCATTTGCTTCATCAGATTAGGAGTCAGACCATTGATGAAGCAAATAAGAAGCTTCCATTAGCACCATCCTTGGATCTCTGAAACTTTTAACAGGCTAAATATTGAGCTTATCAGCTTTAATTGTTCCTTGTAAATGCAGATGCGGTATTATCCACTTTTTAAAATTGGCAACCGTTGAGACAGGTCCTTGAAACACCGCCTTTCATTTTGGTGAAGAGCCATGCTGACAAAAGCATGTGACTACAGCATGACACTTAATCAGAGGACTGAAAAGACTCTGCTTTTTCAGTTAAGGTAGAAATGATGCCAGGAACTACAAATTGAAGATTCCTCCTCTTATGGGATTCATGAAAAAGGGATCTGATTATTATTTTTTATTTAATGAAAATAAAAGTTTGAGGTGGAAAAAGTGAGTTTCCCGCTTAAGTGTTGCAAGGACCAACCTTACACTAGCAGGACCAGACCATTGTACATGTTTTAATTTCCAGTGTGTGTGTCCTGAAGAGGTCAAACTGTCTTTGACCTCTTCAGGACAGTTGGGAATGTTCTACGTCACAGAAATCAGGCTTAAATATTTCTGTCCTGCACTCCTCTCATGTCTTACTGCTACTTCCCAAAGAAAAGTCTCTCTCAAGCTGAGGAAGTCCTTGTATTTCTGCAGCTTTGAAAGACACTCCATTGAACGAAAAATGCTCTGACTAAGCAGAGAGAGTCTTGCATATAATGTGTTGTGTGGTGTTGAGTGAAGCATACTTAGAAATGACTTAGATTTGCTGACTCTCCTTGTTCGGTATTCTTTCTGTTCTGGTGAAGATATTTTCAGCTTCACTGACAGCCAACATATGAAAATGAACCTACTTTCCTCAGATGTTAACAACATTGTTGCTGTAGCCACCTGGCCCTCATCAACCAATTTACTGTTAAAATTGTTCCTGTCCGCATGTTGGGGTTTTTTTGTTTATTTTAAATGTTCTCTTAAGTAGCTGATTATCTTTTTAACAATTAATTGTCACATATAAAACATGTACATTTCAACAAATTACAGAATTTGTAAACTTTGAAGGCTACTCTTTTTTAAAAAAAAAAAAAAAAAAAAAAAAATCCTAACAGCCTTTAATTTGGAAGCCTTTAATTTGGATTAAGCTAGTTGCAGAGCAGAAGGAATTCTAATTACTGGAAAATGCCCTGGATTTGTGAATGCAGTATGTTTAGATTTGGAATAGATTTATAAGGGAAGTATTTTCTGTTGAATCGGGGAATACATATTGAAATGTCGCTCTATTGACAGGTTCAGGCAAGGAACTGGGAGGCATTTCCTGACAAATGGAGAACTATTTCCAAGCAGAGGCATATAACCTCGATAAGGTTTTAGATGAATTTGAACAGAATGAAGGTGAGTGATTTATTTGAAAAATAATGTAAATGCTCATGCTTTATATCAGGGGAAGAAGCCTCACCTTGTTTTTCATGAGCTGCAGACTGATCTTATAACTTGCAACGTTCTCTGTGAATTTTACATAGCTTGCTTGTCAGAGGACATTGTCCATTCATCGCATCTATCCCATATTACTGCCAGTATTATATATCTTGTATTGCTCCTAGATGTTCACTGTCAGAAAGAACTTTGAATGGGCGTATTGTCAGACTCGCCGAGTTTGTTAATGTTTCTTACAAAGCCTAATGGGATCAAAGTTTTTACACAATTTATTCTTAACAATTCAGTCAAAAGAGTTGTATTTAAACATTCTTCTGCACTATTAGGAGACCTGAGTGCAGTGACCTTGTTGCCAGAGCACAAACTTCACAAAGTGAAGCTTGTTACAGTAGAAAGCTGACCAGCCTCACTAATTGGGGTGACCCCTGTTCAGTTACAAAAACATGCAATTAATCAGGAAACTTCCAAAGTGTGCCTGAAAATACAGTATAATAGGAGACACTGTGTTTTAAAGTATTTGTTTACAAGGTACCTGGATGTTGAACTTTTAATTCTGTATGGATTGGGGGGGGTTAACAAAGGCTTTTTTGCTTTTTGATTCCTGTGACAGCATGCAGGAACATGCAGTTGATTGAACACAGTTAAGTGGACTGTGATTGTTCATTGTTTTACTGTATATTCAAAGTATCAAGTCTATGCTTGATTTAGTTTCCTCCATTTGCTCTGGTGGATGCCAAATATTTTGTAGTTGTGTTGGGCCATCTCCCCCTTTCTTCCTACCTGAAGTGTCAGTCTGTAAGTTAGCTTTGCCTGTCCTAGCTAAAATGCTCTTCTGTTCCAGGATCTCAATGCAGTTACCACAATAGCTATTGACTAAGCATGCTTGTGTATTGCAAGAAGTGTTTTGCTGCTGTACTGATATTCAAACATCTGTGTATTTGTGTTTTGGGAGTAGTTTCATTTACATATAATAGTTACTGGAACCGTGGGTAGAAACTCTCTTATAGAGCTGAGAGTTGCATTGCTATGCTGGGTGTATAACGTATTCATATTTAAACCATTACTTTTTCAGATGATGCTGTTTCACCTACATTATTGGGTGCAAAGTGGAATCAGATTTTAGAGCCCCCGTCTCATCGTCTCTCATTTAATCCAGCTCTGACCAACACAAACGATGCTACAATTCCTAATGAGTGTCAGCAAAGATTAAAATCTTTTTCCCTGGCTCATTCAGCCACCACATCAACAGGAGCAGGGGACAGCTGTGCTAATGGAAAAGATCTTAGCATAAACTCAGAGACCCCAACCATGTGGATTGATGACCAGGCAACAGCAGATGATCAGTTAATTAAGAGAAATAGTAATTGGGATGATCAGTGTAATACTTTGGAAACAGGAGAAAACAAATGTGGAAATATAGCCTGCTTGCCAGAAGAAAAAAACGTTCTAGTGGTGGCAGTCATGCATACCTGTGACAAAAGGACACTACAAAGTGATGATTTGTTGGATTGTAAAAATTACAACAGTCAGTCTCTAATGGACACTATTAGCTTTACACTGGATAATGAAAACCGTCAGAGTGATCAGTTTACTGTTACGGTAAATGGATCTACTGAAAAAGATACAGATACAGAGAAACAAGGAGTACAGTTAGATCAGCTGTACACTGAGGATGACTCTGTTAAACATTTGGTTTGTGCTTCCTCTGAAAGCTTGTCTGTTGCTTGCTCCACCTCTCAATTAAAGGATGATTTTAATAAGAGTAGAGACCCTCTGTTCTCAGAGTCAATAGTTGCAGGGACAAATGTTGTGACCTTGTTGCAGAGGCCTGTGGATGGTACCATTAAAGCTCAAGAATGTTGTGCATCAGTTGAAGATTTTACTAACAAAGACATTACTCAGAGAACAGATCTGGAAGCTAAAAACTCTTCTCCTGGTTCAAGTAATGGAAGCTGCATTGTAGAAGATGCTACAAAGGAACAAGCAGCTGAACAGTTTCAATCTAGGCTACCTGGGCTCTCTGAGACTTGTCAGCCTAATGTGTCTGAAAGTGGCAATTACAGTGAACACTTTACAGAATGTTTTGCCTCTGAGGATGTTAGTGCTGTTGAAAGTGAAGTCAGTGAATGTGAAAAAATTCTCAGCACGACTGAATTGCTGAGCGTGGCAGAGTGTTTCCCTGAATCTCAGGAGATGACTAATTGGGAATTGACTAAAGTGAATGAGATGAATAATAAGCAAACTCTTGGAGAGAATGAAAGACTGTTGCAGATGAAACAGCCTGAGGAGGCTTGTAGTAGTAGTAGAGAAGGCGGAGATGGGATGATGGAGGCAGGCATGGACTTAAAGGGGACTTGTATAGATGATCTTGAAGGGTCCAGTCTCTCTGATGTTATGGGTACGTCAGCAGCGAGCTCTCTGTCTAATGGTTGTGATTCCTATGGAATGCAGAACCCGATTGTTGCTCATATTCCAAAGACTTTACCCTCCAAGGAAGACTCAGTGACAGAGGAAAAGGAGATAGAGGAGAGCAAGTCAGAATGTTACACTAATGTTTATGAACAGAGAGGAAATGAGGTCACGGAAGGGAGTGGTGTCATTTTAAACAGCACTGATGACCAAATGAAGAAAAATTACTTGCATAATCTCTGCAGTCAGGTACCATCTGTGCAAGGGCAGACATCACCAAAAACAGTAACTAATCTGCAGCCTATCAGTGTTCCTTTTGGTGGTGCAAGACCCAAACAACCTACAAATCTTAAATTGCAAATTCCAAAGCCATTATCGGACCATTTACAGAATGACCTTGTTCCCCCAAACTGTGGAGGTAATATTAAAAATAAAAATGTCTTTGGTAAGGCAAAATTAGGGGAAACCTTGGCAGCAGATATGTTTCCTGGTGAGACATCGTTAAATACCTCTATTGCTGATACCAACGGGGAACATTTAGAAGAGTATGAGTCTGGGGTCTCTAGTAGTCCGTGCCTTGCAGTAGCCCCAGATAGTCCAGATAATGATCTCAGAGCTGGTCAGTTTGGAGCTCCCACCAGAAAGCCATTTACTACTTTGGGTGAGGTGGCTCCAGTTTGGGTTCCAGATTCTCAAGCGCCAAACTGCATGAAATGTGAGGCCAGATTTACATTCACCAAAAGGAGGCATCATTGCAGAGCTTGTGGGAAGGTAAGTTCATATTCAGTGACGCAGCCCTAGGCTCCCTTATTTGTGGTGCTGGGAAAAGTCAGATCAGAGGAGTAGGCAAGCCACTGGCTATAGTTGCCTCTGACATGTCTTTGTAAAGCAAAATCCAGTTGGCCTGATTAGTTTATTTAAAAAAAAAAAGCCACTAAAGTCTTATCTATTCAATGCTTGCAGAGAATAAATATTTTTTACGGTGATAACAATGCATATCCTTTAAAAGCAGTTTGTTAGTTGATTGCAGCCATTCATAGACATTGATTGGATTCTTTTAGGAGTACTATAAAATAGCTAAGTACAGGAAACTAGTTTTCAGAAACCCTGCATCAGTAATTTCCATTAACAACACTGAAACCTGTTGATGGGGACTAGATGTGAGATACCGAACCGCCAGTTTTTCTGCTGGTTATCATGGCTGACAATCTTCATTCTCTTATTTTGACTTTCTGTGTGCTCCATATATTATTTACAAAAGAAATACATCTTTGTTTCTGAAAAAAGAATATATTATTTACAAAAGAAATACATCTTTGATAATGAAAAAAGATATTGACCATAGTTAGCTTCTCCAAAAGCTGATGGAGAGATGGGTATTGATAAGAGGACTTTCATAGTGAAGCAAATTAAGTGAGCATTGTAAATGTATTTGTTACTGTACAAGAAATGTTTTTTTGCTGAATGTGCATGGTTGGTTGTTCATTAGTAAAAACTTACAAATATGTGTGTATACCATACAACTTAGATAGGTCTGTCCTGGTTTAAATGAAATTGCAGCATGTTTATGATAAAATAACAAAGTCATAAAATATTTGTAGATATTTTGTTCCTGAAACATGTCAGTGGCACATACTGTTGAAAACAGGAAACCCACAAAAATGTATCTGATTATTCAAAATTGATCAATTAATAATTTAAAAAATAAGATGAACGCAAAACATTACCATACTAGAAAATGGCATACTGTATTCAAGTAGCTTTGGCTTATTTAAGGTCTGTCCTAAGCCTCCTTTAGTCAGCTGAAAGCTCCCCTGACTTTTGAGGGCTTTGGATCAGAAGCTTAGGTGTCAGAAGAGCACACGAAAGAAGAATGACCTGGACAGAGGACCCCAAAGAAGCAAATTTATCAGAGAAGCAGAGATTCCTATTCTGCCTGCTCCTGGAAGTGGACTCGTAGAAAACATCGAGTTCTCAAAGCGGATGAGGCGAGTCACTTAGCAGCTAAAATGCATAACACTGAACGTGTTCCTCAAATCACTGTTTAAGTAGGTTGTGCTCACAGTTATTCTGTATTCCCTTGACTTTTAGGCTTGAAAAATCTCACTGAGGGCAATTCTGACTGGGTGAACATACATTCAAAATAAGTACCAGATAACATCGCAAACCAGTCAGTACTAGAACAGAAATTATTAGGAATTAAGTCCTAAGTGATAGAGAGACCACTGAGCTACTTGTGCCATATAAAATAAACCCCTAAATCTGGTGCCACTTTCAGTTAGTATTTGAATTTAAATGTATTCCCATCAAAATCTGTAAGAATTGTATAATTCACTTCAGTAAAACAGGATTAGGTCCCTCATCAGTATTTGATTTAGCTATTAAGTAAAGGTGCATTGTCATGTACAATATTTTCCTGTGTTTTAGTTTTGTTGTGATTCTTTCAAACTACTTTTAACCGTTGGTTAACAGAGGTTTGTTTATTTTTCCTTTGAATTATAGAAAATAGTTGCTTTGCTTGGATTCAATGCTTCTTCTGTAGTAACTGATGCTGCATGAGATGGAAAAAGTGGCAATGACTGAAAGGGAAGACAATCACATACTGAGCACTGAGCTCAGTAGAATTAAAAAAATCAACATAATGGTGTCAGAAGTCTCAGTCATAGAAAAATGGCTAAAGGTTTTGGAAATCTGAATTTTAACAAATAGTTTTCCCCTTAAAATGTACTATTACGGTGTTCTTGGGTAAAACTGAAGCATCTTTGTTTAATGAAACTGTTTAAAAAGAGTCAGTGACTCCTCAAGAAAATGCCTCTGTTTTTAATTTCAGCTCAGTAACTAGGCAAATCAATGGGAGCCACTGAACCTTAGGGTAATAGCTGAAATTAAACATGTATTTCTAAACTAAACATATTGTTGTATAGTTAGAAGGGAGCTCCAGGGTCATCTGGTCCAATGCCTGCATGAATACAAGGATGCTACTCTTAAAACTGTAGGTTAATTGAAGACTCTGACACGTATGTTATATAATAACATAAAAGATTTAAAATTACTAGAAGACCATTACATTTTTAGATTTTGGGTTTTTGAATAATCATCTTGTATATCCATGTGTAGAATCAGTAGAGCGTTTCTGTGTCTCAGCTTTGTACTGTCAACCATAATTGTAATTTTCCTTCACCAAAAGGTGAAAAACAAACAGAAAACCCGCAGACAGTTTTGATAGTATCCTGCAAACTTGCTGCAACTATATGAGCTGCTGCTTTCTGTTATGTGAGATACTAATTAATTAGCAGATACTTTACCAGGTCTATACTGCTGTTTATATTTGATTATGTGCAACACCCACGCTGCAGGTGTATTGGTAAGTTAAAGAATGACAACAGTTGTCATTGTTCTGTTGTTATTCATTTCTGTTCAACATGTGAATCTTGGAGAACATTGTATAAAAAAAGCTCAGTTGAATGCCAGATCTATTCAAAATAGTTTAGTTCTGCACTGTTTGAAGGCATTCATTTTTTTTTTTTAGTGTCCTCCTAGTTTACAGCTGAACCTTCCACTGCGTTTCCACCCCAGACTGCTGAAATGAAATAAAATATTTAAAAATCTATTTGTCACAAAACGATGCTGGTAGCGTTTTTTAGAGTGTTTCTTGGATTGAAGTTTGGAAGCAGATTATATAACTTCAAGTTGCTAAAACATTTTAACATGTTTCATATCTGTGGAAGAATTCCAGTTTATTTTCCTAGGTGGAATACCAATATTTACATGCTTATTTTACTTTTGAAAATGTGTAATAAAAGTATCAGTAAGTAGACATAGCTGGAATTGAATGAGACGAGAATATCTTGGTTACAGAATTAATGTTCTGACTCACCTTGTACTTAACCGTAGCCTTATCTTGTATTTGGGTACCATCTGTACACTACAGTGACAATAGAATTAAGTGACCAGGTTGCAACATAGCCAAAAGTTTTAGTTGTAGACGTGTGACCAAACTGTTCCTTTAACTGGATTAGGATGTCGGTAGATGCTGCCATGTTTATCTGTTATAGCAGAATCATCTGATGTGTTTGTCATAATGTAAACTGGGTTTTGCATGTAGCATTTTAAAATTTGTAAAATTTTTAATTTTTCAGGTGCAGTGGAAAAAAATGTAGGATTAAAGAAAGGTGTCTTCAAGATTATTAGTATAAGAAATGCAATTTACTAAGCATAAGAAACCGTCTAAAATTAAAGTACTTCTGATTGAAGTTAAAACTTTTTACTTGATGTTAGATTTGTTTGTGCAGTTGCTGGTTTGTAAGTTTTTTTTTTTCTAAGCTTTTCACTGTCTTTTTGCATGAAACAAACTCTTTGGTGTCTTCATACACCGCTGGAATAGTAGCCCTAAGGCACATATATGGAAAATATTGACTCTATTTAAATGCACATAAAAATACTATAGAATAGTCTGCCTAGGACAGGGGCGGGCAATTATTACGAGCGGAGGGCCGCTTGATGTGTTTTGGTGAGCTGTTGAGGGCCGCATAGGGAGCCCCGTCCCTTCAGTTGCCCCACCCCCTGGTTGCCATCGTGGGACCGGAAGTCCCGTCCCCTAACCCCTGCCTTTTGCCACCAGTAGTCCCTCCCCTTGCCCCTGGAAGTACTCCTTTTGGAGAGGTGGCCTTGGAACTGAAAGTTACACCCTGTCATGTGGTCTGTGTCATAAGACTCACCCACCCAACACCAAACTGCCCCGCTCGCCATCTCTCCCAGAATCTGACCTGACCCATCCCAGCCTGGCCGCCTCCCCCTGTGGCACAGCAGGAGCCAGCCCAGGCGCAGGTCCCCTCACCAGCACAGTCCCCTCCAGTGCTGTGGGACCCCTCCCGTCCCAAACTGCAGGGAGCTCAGCCACAGCTTTCCACCCCGGTGCGGCCTAGCCAGCCCATCCCGAACCCTATCAAGCGGCGGCTTCCCCATGTGCTGCTGCACTTTCCCCCTACCTGCGCCAGCTGATCCCAAAAGGCTCCACCGCCGCTTCTGCTGGCCCGTGCCAACCCAGCTGGGCTCGCCCTGTCCCCAGCAGCATGTGGGAAGCTGGCTTCAGCCGCATGCTGCTCTGGATGGGACGGGCCCAACCGGGTCTGCACTGGCCAGCAGAAGTGGTGGCGGAGCCGTGGGCTGCTCAGGACTGACGGTCGCAGGTAGGGGGAAAGTGCAGCTGAGCCCCTGCTACTCTGGCCAGGCTTGTCCTGTCCCATCCTGAGCAGCACACGGCTCCGCTGCCACCTCTCTTTCCTGGTGCTGACTGGGCCGGAGCTGTGGCCCAGCTGCTGCTTCCCCTCCCCAGTGCCGGCCCAGCCTGACCCCACACAGCCCGAGCGCCATGGCACATGGAAAGCCTGCCCAGCACCTGCTTTCCTGGGCTTACCTGCAGGGTAGGGCCCTTTCCAGTCCCATGCAGCAAAGCAGAAGCTGGCCTGGACGCTTTCCCCTCACTGGCGCCACAGGTTCTGGCCCAGCCGCACCCCCTTCTCTCAAGCTGCAAACGTGGCCTGAGCCGGGGTGGGGTGAGGCCAGCTGGGGCAGGCTGAGGTCCGGGTTGGTTGCCTTGCAACCAGAACCCAAGGAAACAGCGTGAGGTGCTGCAGCCAGCGGCTGGTGCCACCAGAAGCTTTTAGAGAGGCATCCTCCGTTACCTGGGTTTTGAAGGGGCTCTGCGGGCTGGAGGGAAGTGCTTGGTGGGCCGGATCCGGCCTGCGGGCCATATTTTGCACACCCCTGGCCTAGGATCAGGTCTGTTACTGGAGGACTTTGGATTATAGGCCCCTGAGTCTTGCCACATCTAGAAGACATCTTTTCTTTGCAGACAAGTGCTTGAAATGGTGTAGTACAGTATAATGCTGCTAATGATTGGAGTTCCCCAGAACAAGTCTCAGCACTGCTTTATCCTGGGCAGGGTCAATGCCCAGGATAAAGTGCTGCTTTAGGAGAAAAGTGCTGAAAATGCATGCCCAGTAGTGTGGTTGGTCTGCCAGGCACAAGTCCCACTGTGTTCCCCCTAAGCGAGTGTAGTGTGCTGCGGCTTTTATACTCCTGATGACTTCCTTGTTTTGAGATACAAAAATTCTGCAATTATGCATATGGGAGTTGATCAGCTGTCCTAAGGCTTTTGTTGTTTCTAAAAACATGCAGTACTGTTGTAATTTGAATTTAGCAAAATGTCTTGCTGTTTCATACTTTGAAAAATACTAGCCTATGTGGTTTGCATCCTATAAAAGTTTTGGTACGCACTGTTCCAGTAAGTCCCTTTGTGGGAACTGGAATAGAAGCTCATAGTCCCCTGAAATCACAGGGCTGACAGTTAATGTGTATGTACAGTACGTTGAAAGGCTCAAGAGCTAGGCTGAGTGGCTACAGTGGATGCACTGCCCTCTTATAAATTAGTGGTTCACTTGAAAGCGTTTGTGTTCCTGGAGAAGCACGGCAAACTTCCCTAGTGTAGAGGAAGTGCATCTGTCCCTTCTTTCAAATTGTATCTGTGTTCTTCCTCACTTTGGATTTGATTAACCACTGACCAAAGATATTGCTATATATAGTACCTTACCAAGCATGCTTTAAATGTGGTTAATTCTAGAAAGTTATTAATGTAGTTCTCTAGGTCAGTATGCATAAATCCTTAGCAACAGGTGAGATTTTTGAATATGTTAGGATTTTATTGGCTTTCATCCCAAAACCTACATTTGTAAATTATGTCTTTGGGTTGATTAAGGGGTGGATGTCTGTGCTGGTGTACATAAAGTAGGGCACAGGAAGTTAGACACCAGCGCTGGCCACTTTTTAAATCAATTTCACTTGGGGTCTATTGGAAATGTATCGATAACTCCTCTTAATTTTGCACCTTCTAATGCACTGTATACACTTTGTATATGATTGTATCTATATGAATGGCTCACCTTTTAATAGATGCAGAGTAACTTTCTTGTTGTTTTTCTTTTTCTCCAGGTTTTTTGTGCAGCATGCTGCAGTTTGAAATGCAAGTTGCTGTACATGGACCGAAAAGAAGCCAGAGTGTGTGTAATCTGCCATTCAGTACTAATGAATGGTAAGTAGAAAGAGGGTCTAAGTGTAAAAGCTCCCCTGGCTTTGTGTTGGCCAGCAGCCTTTGTATGTATGGGCATGGCTTGCCCTAGTCCAGGAGACAGCAGCATTTTTCTGGTGGGAACTGGAATGACCCAGCTCAGGTCCAAGGAAGGCAGGCACTAGGACTTAGTTGCCACAACTGCCTCTCCCTGTGGCGCAGCTGAATGCAGCCAAAGCCCCCCCACTGGTGAATGCTGCCTGATGCCACCGGAGCCTCCTGGCTCAGGACTGGATCCAGTGGCTTGGCCCATGGGCAATAGATTGCTGACCCCTGTCCTAGCCAGTTCAAAACATTGTGTGTGTATGGGCAGACATTTAAAAATGGCAGATTCTAGAGACTGACTAGAATCCCTTTGGGAGCTGGGGACTCTTATACCAAACGTGTTTAGTGAAAGCTATGGGCTGATAAAGTTGCCACAAGACTCAAAGTTTATTTCATGAAGCACCATGCCTGGCTTGCAAAAAACTCGTTTTGCATGGAGGAGAATGGTGGTAGCTCTACTCTTGTTTTCTTAACTGTGGGTTACCTATAATACACATGCAAGAGACCAAAGGGAAGAAACCCACATTTGTGTCTCCTCCCAGACTATGTATGATAAGGAAACTATTAAAGTGATCTTATTTTACAAGAGGATGCTGCTTCATTTCTCACAAGCTGGCCCTTTAAAATAGATTTGTTATTGTTAACCCCTTGGTTTCAGAGGCACATGTTCTTAAGGGCAGAGCACTGGCACCTTGAGTTGTGATCCTACCTTTGGGCATATTACTGCATGATAAATTGAACGTGAACTCTCTGTGACTCTGTGGCCAAGAAGCTAATGCAGCCCTCAGATGTGTAAACTATTCTATAGGAGCAGAGAGGTTAGATCTGTATCTGGCATCAGTACAGCTTTTACTGGAATACTCTGTCCAGTTCTAGTGTACACAATACAAAAGGAATATTGAAAAATTGGCAAGGCTTCAAAAAAGAGCAGTGTGACTGATTAAATGATTGGAAAACTTGCCTTTAGAATGAGGGAGCCAAGGAGCTCTGTCTGTTTAGGTTATTGAGGAGACAGCTGAGGATTTATCTATCTGTAAGGTCCTATATGGGAAATAGAAGTTCTAGTGATTAGAAGTTGAAGGTAGACATGTTCAGAATGTAAGTGCAGATTTTTAACACTGAGGTTAATTAACCAGTGTAACAATTTAGCGGGTTGCAGGGGGTTTTAAATGTCACAGGGGACATTTAAATCAAGATTGGATCAAAAAAAAGCCAGAATGCTGTAAGAACTTAAAAAATGCATTACTGAGTCAGACCAGTGGTTCATCTAGTTCAGTATTGTATCTTTGAGATGGTGTGGAGAGAGGGAGAGTATATTAACAAGACACATCTGAAGTTACCCATCCCCTGTCACACCCTTCCTGGCATCCACCGTCATTTTAGGGATACACGCCTGACTGTTCTGTTTAATAGCTATGAGTAGGCCCGTTCTCCATAAATGTGTCTAGTCCCTTTCTGAATCTGGCTATACCATCTGCTTCTACAACCCCCTGTGGCAAGAAGTTCTATAAGTTAACTACATCCTACATAAAAAGGACTTCCTAATTTGTCTCCTGTTAATATTAGTGTCCCTTAATTCTGGGATTCAGTGAATAACAGTTCCCTATGCATTTTATCCATACTCTGCATGCTTTTATAGACCCTTTTCATATCCCTCCTTAGCTCTAGTTCAACCAAGGACATCGTGGAGTTCTGAACTTGGATGATCAGAGTGATCTTTTTTGCCATTGAAATCTATGATGGTATTTAGCCCAGGTTCTTAAATGTGTCCACTAATTTTGGATGCCTCTGTGTTGTGGCTTGGTAACACTTTCTCAAGTGCTTGATTCTCCCTCAGAGGTGCTGAGAGCGGCTGCATAAATCAAGTGCTCAGCTTCCTACATTCAGAATTCAGATTTAGTGCACAGATTCCACAGCTGTTAAATAGGATTTTTTTTATCTCTTTCAGGACTATGAAAGATTAATTAGTCAGTGTTTGTGCAGCAATTTGAAGAAAGTGCTAAGTATTAAATATTAACATTTTCCACTGTAGGCTGTACCATGATAGGAAACAGATAATTGTAGATAATAGTATCTAGGAATTAAAACATGTCTGTGGTATTAAAGGTGCTTAGGTGTGGTAGTAAAGGTGCTTAGGAGTTTGGGCCGTGGAGGTAGAAAATTTGTCATATTTCAAAATTTATAAGAACAATGAAGTGTGTACGTTTTTGGCCAAAAAGTTCTGGCTCTGGTTGCTGGTAGGTAAGATTTGTTTCTAGCTGGGGGAAGGGAGGAACCTGAAAGTATTTCAGTTGAAACCAAAAATGTTCTTGTAAAGAGGCATAGTAAAATTGATCATGTTATAATGATTTCCTTTTAAAAGCCTTTCTGTCTTGTTGCCAGCATGGATACACATTAGTGGTAGAGAACAGTGACACACTGCTGGGATTATTATAGCGAGAGCACTGCTAGCATGCTAGTTGTATATTTGCCCCTGGACCAACTCAGCCTCTGCTTTTGTCCTTTCTCTGGAGTACTTTATAGTGATGTTTGGCCATTGCTGGTATGTTAAGCTTTGTCTGTCATCATTCTTCAAACATGAGATGTCATTATTTTGCTTAGTTGTTCAGTTGATTTGAATTTCCCTAGTGTTTGGTTTGCTGACATTCATCCCTATATAGAGTCTGTGTTTAATTGTGATTCTTAACATTTGCTTTGTCTGGAAAGGCATTTTCAATTGATAGCTATTTCTGAATTGGCACAGACTGCAGTGAGTAAAACAGAGGATTCAAACAGAACAAGGAATTTATCCTGCAGCGGACATCATCACAAATGAATGCCAGGGAGAGAGAGAGATACGTATGTATGTATATATGTGTCTCTTCTCTCAAAGCCCATATTGTATATGGATAATTAATCACTTTTTAGAAATAAACTGCCTCACTTTTCTTCTCAAATTGAAATATCTGAAAAGGCCCCAAGGCCCTTCGCTGACTTTGTATTGGTTTGGGGAATCAATGCGATAAAGAATTACAGTATTCTTGACGTTCTATTTCTTTTTTTTTTGCAGTTAAAGGTTTTGCATATACTCTAGTTTCTCTAGCACCTTTTCCCTCAGAGGACTCGAAAACATTTTAGAAGTGTGAGCTTGAATATTGGATTGGTTCAGGTACTTACGGTGGTTCTTTGGAGAGCCTTCAGATGTTTTGGTACATATGTGTGATTATTTGACTATGAAGTTATTGGTAATGCTTGTGCGCTCACTCGAAGATGTAGGGTGCATAACTGCACATTCAGATCACCTGGTACCTTGTACAGCTGAGCTCCCTGTTGAATTCTCCTTCCCTCTGTACACCCCAAAATAAGTAGTGCCACGGAAATGTCGCTCTGCCTGTTCTGTTCTGAGCAGAGAAGAGCCTGTTCTGCTCCTGACATCGTTGACATTGAAGTTGTGTGTGTTGCATAATCATGGATTTGTTTTGAGTTGAAGCTCAGGCCCCGTTGTTAAAAATTCATAGCATAAACCTTTTCATGGTTTAGAAAAGATGATGTTAGTGTAGACTAGAATATTCTGAATATAAGGAAGTACAATATGCTTCATTTGTTTGCAAAAGAATACATTTGGTGTCTGGGGGTTGTGTAGGTTGTAAAATCTTTGGGGCAGAGAGTGAGCCTTTGTTTGTCTATAGAGCCTCATGCAACTCAGTGGGGTTGTAGAGATTGGCATTGTTTTTTTTTCTGTTTTTTTTCTTTTCTTTTCTTTTCTTTAAATAACCTTTGAAGAAGTTATAAAACTGAGGAATCAAGAACTAGGCAGCTCTGACCAAACCATGCAACTAGCCTGCCATGGAACTGAAATTCATATCACAGGATACCAGTACTCTTTCTTTATGCATTTTGTTCCTTAGTTACAGTTTCAGTATGGAGGCATACTTTTAAATAGTGGCTGGGGGGTGGTGGGGAATAAACATGGCGGGTGGAAAAGCCCAGAGATGGTATAGAGTATGTACTTAATCAGCATCATGGAAAGGGCATTGCACTTCAAGAGGGATGTGGATAACCTTGAGAGGGTCCAGAGGAGGGCTACTCCTATGGTTATGGGCCTACAAGTAAGATCCTGCGAGGAGAGATGGAGGGACATGAATCTCTTCAGCCTCAGCTACAAGATCCCCTCTCAGCCTTCTTTTGCAGTCTACAAATTCACCTGTGGGGGCAGCAAGGAATAGGGGATATTCTGTTTATCAGGGCACCCCTTAGCGTTGCTAGGAACAATGACCGTAAACTGGCGGAGATCAGATGTATATTAGACATTGGGAAAAAATTCTTTATGATTAGGGTTGCCAAAATCTGGAATGGACTTCCAAGGAAGGTGATTCTCTCCCCTGCCTTGGGGGTCTTCAAGAGGAGACTAGACAAGCACCAAGCTGGGGTCATTTGACTGCAGCGCTCTTTCCTGCCCAGGACAGAGGGTCGGACTCAATCTACCGAGGTTCCTTCCAACCCTAAAAATCTATGAAAGTCACAAACTTTACCGTATGATCACATTTCTGCTTTTCTGTTTACTGTAGCTCAAGCCTGGGAGAACATGATGAATGCCTCAAGCCAGAGTCCTAACCCTAACAATCCTGCTGAATACTGTTCCACTATCCCTCCCTTGCAGCAAGCTCAGGCCTCAGGAGCACTGAGCTCTCCACCTCCCACGGTGATGGTTCCTGTGGGAGTTTTAAAACACCCTGGCACAGAAGGTAAGAACATTCTCCCCCCTCTCCCCATCTCAGTTTTCTTGTGAACAAGCTGTGATGAGATGTTAATGTAAGTGTATGAATGATGCCCTTTTGAAACTTAACCACATGTCTTGTGGGGATGAGGCAAAAAGGAGACAGGAAATGTGTGTGAGAATGGGATTTCCAAACACATGGAGATGGATACTCCTAATTATACTGCTGATGTTCCTGCCAAGTGCTATATGTGTAGAAATTGCCTTACTGAGTCCAATAGATAATAAAATATCTATTTTTCTTTTATTGGTTAGATAGTTGTCTTGTTTTCATAGCCTCTGGTTATAAAGAATTTTGCACAGGTGCTATCTTTCTACCTCCTTCTCCCACCTGTGCTCTGGGTAAGAGTTCCCATGTGCTGATCTAGTGCCTGCCCACCTCTCTGTTTGTGTTAAATATTTACACTGTTCTGTTGAAAGTATCTATGATATATCCCAGCTATAATTTCTACATTTGACATTGGAACAAATCAGCTTCACTTCGCTTGAGGCAAAGCATTGCTCACATGTTGTCATGAGACTGTGAACTCTGTGTTTCTCTCTAGTGGCACAACCTAGAGAACAAAGGCGTGTCTGGTTCGCTGACGGCATATTACCTAATGGGGAAGTGGCTGATGCAGCAAAATTGACGGTGGCTGGGACAGCTCCTGCGGGAACCTTAGCAGTGTCACATGATCCATCCAAGCCTGTGACCAACAACAGTTCATCCGCAGAAGTAAGGAAACATTATGCTGTTTGCTGTTCAAGAATGTCATGGTTTCTGTGGCTCTGAATGATGTAATGCATATTGGGGCAATTTAAATTAAATCACTATGGGAAGTCTGTTGAGCTTGTGGTTTTATTTTAGTCATGTATGTGGCAGATGTCCATGTTTGCAGAGGGCTGAATCTAGGCATCTATTTTTGAAAGTGGCTGTGAATGTATAAGCTGTTATGCAGTAGTAACTAAGTGCACAAGTCAAAGTTCAGGGCCTTGCTAGTCAAGGTGGTTTCCAAGCTTTTGGCATACATCTGTGTGTGTGCAAAGTGTGTTTTGTGTAATATGGATCTTTAATAAAGCTGAGTCACAAGAGAGATGGGGCTTGAAACAACGAGCTTGTCATAGCATTAAGGTAGAAGAATGTTTCTGTTTGATGCGTTTTCTCATTAAAAAGAGATTTATGCTTGAAAACTCAGATGTAATCCGCCAGTGCTATAAGTGCTACAGCACCTGAGTGGAATCAAGAGATTTTTACAAAAAGGTCAGAAATGCTGGTGGAACTGTAATTGCTTTATTTCTGTGTTACGAGGAAATGGGTTCCATATGTTGCCAGTGAGAGGAACTGCAGGATCTCTCCAAGCATACTGTGTATCTGGAAGGAGTCTGTCAGTGTAATGTGTATATGGAATCCAGGCAGTCCTGGGGATGACACCTGCCCAGCTCTTGTGTATTGTTCTGTAATGCTGTGTCCGTTCTGATTGTTTTCTGCTTTTTGTAGACTGATAACACATCTGCGTTCTCGGGAAGTATAACTCAGGTTGGCAGTCCAGTTGGCAGTGCGATGAATCTAATCCCTGAAGATGGTCTTCCTCCAATTCTCATCTCCACTGGAGTAAAAGGAGGTGAGGGCTGTAGTGATAAATGACCAGCTGCTTGTGACTGTTGGCGCTATATCTGCATGGTATAGTGCAGTGCCACGGAGAAAAACCTGGACAGCTCAGGTGTTGGAAGCAGTATAAGTGCATAAGCACAGGGCTCTGTCTGGGCTAATATACCCTGCTTCTTGGCATGACTGATTTGCATGGATAGAGTGCCCTGCCAGTTTTTCCATTCCCTGAGTTTGCTTGGGTTTCTGTTCATAACACAGCAGCATACCATGCAGAAATAGGCTTACTGGTAGCAATTTTACAATTCAGGATATCACATCTGGTTAGAAAATCGGATGCGTGCTATATGCAGAAGTGATTAATGATGGATACTTCTATCATGATCTGAGCCCTCATCTGCACTAAAATTCTGTTTGCAGAGTGGTGTTGCCTTGGGATGTGAGCCGAGCACATCTCCAGGCCACGGTGCTTTGCCAGCAAAACCCCAGTTCGGACTACCTCTGGCAGCAGAACTTTGTTCCTCCAGGTGGCTGGTGTAGCTCTGGCAGCAGAAAATTTTAAGCTAGCAGTGCTGCATCCATGCCAGGAAGCCCAGGCACCTTGGTTCTCCTGCTGTTCTTAAAGCACCAGCAGTCGCCACAGTGAAGGTGTAGGCTGACATGACCTTAAAGAGGGTGCCCCTCTTCCATATTAGCACCCTTGGAAAACCTCCTTCCGATGATGAAAATACTACGAGAAGTAAAATGCAGAGCAATAAAGAAAATGAAGCTGCGCCTAGAAATGTGTGCTCAATTCCTCAGTAATCAGACTGCAGGAAATGATCAACACAGAGATGTATTTTAATTAGTTTTGTAAATATTAATGTTTTCCTCCATGAAGTTCTCTTGGAGCTTCTTCTTTATTGAAGGTATCCCAGAATACAGAATTTGGTGACTTCACAAGTACCATGGGTTGCAGTGAAACTTTGGGTATTTGCTGTCACATTCAGGAATGCAGTATCTTAGCGGAAAGCTTGAGGGAGAATTCAGAGAGGAAAAAATAAAACACGTCTATGCTGCATGTCCCCTCTACCCCCTGGTTTGGTTTATAAGAGTACTTCTTGTATACTTTTACGCTTAGCTCATTTTTTTTTATTTTTTCTTCATAATCCCTCTTTAAAATTTCAGCTTGTTCAGCATATTTGTTATTTAAACAGGAAGAATCTTTATCCACAATATTGTTAAAAATAAGAAAGCAAGCAACACTTCCATGACATAAACAGGTTTCCCTGTCCTGTTTAGCTAGTCCAATTATTAAACCTTCTGAATAAATAGGGAAACAAGTAACTTTACTTAAATGCAGCATACAAGCCAAATGTCACAGGCTCAGCAATTTAATGCGGATATCTTTCCACAGGTCTTATTTTGTGTGCGCATAAACTTATTCTGTTTCTCATGTCTTCACATTCCTACTCCTTTGCAATGTTTTACTGCCAACTGGGCATTTCATGTAATCATGTTTATGTTTCAAATATACTCTTTATGTTAGCAGTTGTGGTGAACCTTCTGGGTAGATATTTATATCAGGCAGGATAACATAATTTGCTTCATATTTTGCTTTTCTTCAATATATCCCTGATTTCTATGTGATGCTGCATTGCTTAGATATAGGCTGGAACAAGTTTACATTCCCTCTAGGAGTAGCTCACTGCATTTAAGAATGTAAATCTTTTGCCCAGTTACGTTCTATTTGTCACATGCTTCTGCATCACCTTGTGCAAATGGGGATTTGGTCTGTGAACAGAGGTCCAAGGACTCTTGCCAAATAAATAATGGTATTAACATTTATTAGTATTTGAATGAAATACTAATATGTTCATCTACATTACACCCACTTTTAAAAAGAAGTGAAATGCTTGCTTTTCCAGGTTTCTACTGTAGTTTGATACTATTTATTAGATAGGTGGGAATTTTTATTAGATAGGTGGCCTACAGGAATTAGGTGCCCAGATTCTACTGAAATGCTGAAATCCTGCCCAAAAAGAAAGCAACCCAGTAAAATGCTAGCAAATTGAACTATGCATCGGAACAATGAGTCATTACTTAGCTGATGACATTTCTGAGTGAGTTACCAGCAAGCGAATGACTTAACCATGTATTTCTTTCTTATAGATTATGCTGTAGAAGAAAGACCTTCTCAGATATCCGTAATGCAGCAGCTGGAGGATGGTGGCCCTGACCCTCTTGTGTTTGTTTTAAATGCAAATTTGCTGTCGATGGTTAAGATTGTAAATTGTAAGTTATTTGTTGTTTAATTTGGGGGAAGGGTTTATAAAAAGAGTATGCACTTACCACTGGTTGAAAACACAAAACTTCCTATTTTCTACTGACAGTCTGAATTGCTGCATGGAACTAACATATCCTATGTATTTTATTTGTATTAAAATGTAAAATACACCTATTCCATGCTTCAGGCCTATATACAGATACTTTTATATAGAAATACAAAGAGATTAATGTCAGTTCAAAGATTTTAAGACATACCAAGAAATTAATGTCAGCTCCCTGATTCTACCCATTGAAGCCAAGAGGGCTGACTGTTACTCCCTCTCTGTTCTCCTCATCGTTTACGTGTGTGACCCTTCCTCAGATTCTGGCAAAAGAGAGAGAACTTTGGAGAATGTGCTGCAATTAGTTGGACTCCAACTAAACATATGTATATTCAGTTCAAAATGACCTTCACTAAAAACAACTGCACCTCATTGTCATTGTTAGTACTGTCTTGAGGGGGGTGAGGTTTTTCGTTGACAGGTCACTGTTAATTTCCATTGGTTAAGGTGGTTGTGTGTCAAAATAAATGAAGGTTGTAGCAAGATTTTTTTTGTGTTAGAAAATACCTATAAACTAGATAAAAACAAACTTTAAAAATATGTGCTGGTGTTGTTACATCTGACTCAGTAGCAATGCTTATATATTTCCTAGAATCAAGGAGTTTTCTGGAAATTTAATTTTCTGAGTGGGTTAATCGGGAAGGATAAAACAAATGTTGTTAATATTCACTTTGAGCGCAAGATCAGCTTTGATAATAGTGTCTACATTTAACCTTTATTTGACTCCAGCACCATTCATTAGACTGGATGCTGACTATATCACTAAACATGAAACAAATTCTTTTTAGGATGGCAACATGTCCAGTGCAAAAACTTTAAAACAGAAGGGTTTGAGTTGCAAATCTGGGACATCACATGAAAAACCAGATATATTCTCCATGACACCTTATAGACAAAGTTGCCTGTTTCATCCAGAGCAGAGAGTTGGTCAGTGGTTCGTGCTGTGTACCAGCCCTCTGCCTGCATCTCTGCATCTTCCACCTCTATTCCTTTTTTTTATGTTGTGCACAGACATTTCCAGTACAGAGGTCTGCTCTCTGGTAGGCATCTGGCTGGGATCAAGCCTTTAGTTCTCCCTATATTGCAGACCACAGTTTTATAATTTGCTTTTGATCCTCATGTGCTTGCCTGTAGGATTTAGAATTTAGTGCCTTACTTGTCTTGATGACAAATATCAGGACTGTGCATGTTTCTGTAATTGATTCTTCAGCTGGCTCTCTGTAGGGCAATTTGGGCAGGGCAGGACAGATGGATGTTGAATAGATTGCCACTTTTCCTGAGTTACGCTTTTTCCCTCTGCAGACGTGAACCGGAAATGCTGGTGTTTCACTACAAAAGGAATGCATGCAGTGGGGCAGTCTGAGATCGTGATTCTCCTGCAGTGCTTGCCTGATGAAAAATGTTTGCCCAAGGATATTTTTAATCACTTTGTACAGCTTTATCGGGATGCCTTGGCAGGTGGGAATACTTTTTGTTTAAAATCTGTGGTAGGTGACAACTTTGATCGATGACCCTAATGAGCTAGAGAATCATATTTGCATTGTAAAAAACATGGCAATTTTCTGTTTGTTTTAAACAGGTGAAAACATGATGCTCAAAAATGATTGTGTCCTGAGTTCACATCCACTGTTAGTATTTTATTCAGTAATGCAAATGGGAATATAGTAAGTAAAAATATCCAAGCTCTAATTGGCAAGAATAGTTGCACCTGTCATAGCATTCCCTTATAATAAAGGGATATGCTTTCATTTTCAGCCTGTATGGCTACCTGTCTGTAACTTCTGAAAATACTACCTTTTAGACTGAAACTGCTCTTGTGTTTCTCAGCCTGAAAATGACTCCGCTAGGCAAAATTATTTCAGCTCATGTTGATTTGTCAGATCATGAAAGCACGTAGGGCAGAGTGTTGGGGAAATGCTGTGGTGGGCATAGAGGGGGCCTTCTGAATCTCCCTAGGCATGTTCATCTGGGGGAAGGGAAAGTATAAAAGGGCCCAGCCCAGGCAGTTACAAGTTGAAGGCTGGAGTTGTCTCCATGGACTAGTTCTGAGGAGGAGTAGTAATTTTTCCATGGATCTCCCTAGTATCTGATCTGTTTTTTCATATCGGGTGTTGAACTCTGAATTTGAACAGAGTGGCGCTGAAATGAGTACTTGCTTCAGAGGTTTGTTCAACATCTAGCACAATGGAGCCCTTGCTAGAGATCCTAGGGGCTAAGGTGGTACTAATACAACCAATATGTTCAGTTTGCAGACAGGTCAGGATGTTTTTAACACATGGCGGTAAAATGCAAGAAAGAACCTTTTAATGAAACATTAAGTTTACAATATTAAATCCACACAAATCGGGCAGCTGAATGTTTTTCCCTAGAATGCCTGTAAATAGGCCATGTTATGGAAGAAAAGTTAGCTCCAAAAAAGTCATACCTATATGCAAATGAGATGAATTGCAATTGCAGCAGAACCATACCTGAATTCTCTCCTTGTTATATTCAGACTCTCAGTCATCAAGTTGTTGTACATTGGTTTTTCCACCTAACTGGACTGGAAAAGTGGAGTTGCCCTTTCAAGCAGTGCCAGATCAAAAAATTAAACCAAAAACAAAAAGATTGGCCTTGTAAATAAAAAAGCTGTACTGAAAGATATGAATGTGTTTATTTTGTACTTCAGGTTAGTTCTCCAGAGGTGAAATTGCACTGCACATACGACTGTCTGTTATAAATTCATCTCTCTCAGATAACCTATTGCACATTTTGTACAAAGCACTGTGAATAATCATCCAAAATGCTCTTTGGATGATTGAATCCAAAGTGAAATAATGAAAAAGAATTTCCTTCCTAAAACGTCTTGGTACAAGAAAGGTCGGCTTGTCCAGTGAAGAGTGCTGGATACAAAGTGTACTATTATCACGTGGTATAATTGATTTCAGATACATTGGAAATGAATGCGTTCCCAACCCTGATTTAACCAACAGTACATCGTAATCTTCAGATTATGATGATTCTAGGTTGGTGCGTATATTGCAGTGCAGTTCTGTATGGAGATTACACTATGGAGATGCATAATTTATAACTCCTACATAATGTATTCTGAATCCTATTTTTAGCGCTCCACTGGTAGTAATTTGATATACTACGTTGCAATGCAGTTAGGGAAGTAGTGCTTGCTGTTTTACAATTTGTAATCAGAAACCAAACTTTATCACTTACAGTGCTCAATCTTTGATGTCCTTTGGATAATACTTTCTGTGTGCTATATTTCAGATATGTGGTGCAAAGTAAATTACATCTTGAGTTGCTGTAGGATATAAAATGCTCCACCATCAGGCTTACACAACTCATGGCAGTCAGGATAAATTCAGACAGAAGCCCATAATGCGTTCACTACGTATCCATCCCTATCTCTCCTAAGGTTGTGTGTGCTTGTGTACAGGCACACCTCCAAGCATACATACAGAGTACTTGTAGGCTTAACTTACCTCTAGCGACATTTTCTTTTATTCATAGAGGAGGAAAAAACCTTGAGGTGCGAGGGGAAATTTCCCTTGGATGTTATAAGTATGCATATTCTAGGCAGGCCTAAGCTTCCAAATTTGCCCATTTTTCAGAGGTGCCGTACTCGTTGTGGGTATCAGGCAGCGAGCATGGATTTGCAGTGAACTGTAGAAATTAGAGGCTGTTTGAAACCCTGACTAACAATTTTATTTCTTGATTATAATAGTATTTGAATTTATTTTGCAGCCAGGAAACAGAAGTCCTTTAAAAATATTTTTGAGAGCTATTTTTTTTTTTGGCTCCAGAATGTAAATAGGGAGAAATGAAAAAAGTAAGTAACTAGCCCTTGTTAATTATTGATTTAAGAGTCCTGAACAGCCAGGATGCAGGAATTGGTTACTACTTTTTTTTACTGATATATTTAATTATTATTTTATTTATTTATTTATTTATTTATTTTTTGCCAGACTGTTTAGGTAAGTAACAATAAGAAGCATGAGTATCTCTGGAGCATTTTCTAGGAAATGAAATTAAGTGTGTTTTCTAGCTTTTTCCTTATTAACTTGTCACTTGTGAGCTCCGCACTCACCATAGTAAAAACTTTAAGTGTCTGTTACAAGTATGCCTTAGCTTGAGGCCTCTGTAGACAATCTTGCTCTCTGCAGTTCCCTGCTAATGCAGACAGGGCCTGTTTTGTCCCATGTGCACATGTTGAGTAAAGCTGTCCTTCGCTGGCTGCTTAGTTGGGATCATGATTGTTCTTCGTCAAAGTAACCTGCAACACTTGGAGGGAAAGGTAGGGTTTCGGTATGGACTGTAGCCATGTAAGAGAGAATGCATTTCAGGCTTTTTGATTAAGACAAATATTAATTGCTATTCCATGATTCCCCTCTGGCCCTAGAAAGCTTGGTTTGTTGTCAAGCTCCCTGCTGTTTGGCTTTTCGTGTTTTGAAATTGGAGGCTAATGCTTTCTGTTGCAGTGGTAATCCCACGATTATCCTTGTATGTTGGCAATAAGCCCAGCAGGAGGTCCACCAAGTTGAAAAATGAGAACTTTGTCCATATAAATGGGTACTTCGGTGCAGTCAGGCATGCCAATGGAGAGCTGCTAGCTGTGCCTTAATGCGCTGGCCTTTCTTTTGATGTAACGTAATAAAAAATATTTCCTTTTTTCTAGTGAAAATGCAAATCTGGCAACAGGGGGTTATTTCTACTGCCTACTCACTCTTGAGGGTCTCCCTCAATGTTTGTTGCAGTTTTGATCAGGGTGCACTGATTTCAGTAGACGTGATGTAGATCACTAACTTAATCAGTAATCAAGAAACATGGGTTTTAATCTTGCTTTGCATTTGTGCTTTTTAGTTTTCATTGGCTGGTAACCATTTAAACATGTTGATGTGCGACTAAATCGTTTTTACACTTTCAATTTGGTACCTTTTTATGTAAGCAATTAGATAGCTTAACTTAAATTTTTCTGTCTTTTTTTTTTTTTACATTTTATGAAAAATAGTGAATGCTAGTTCTTATTTATTTGTGATGATTTTTTTTGTTGGTGATTAGATTGAGCTACTTTTGTCTGGAAACTGGACTTGAATTTAAAATGCATAATAATTTAATTTAAAAAAAAAAATACAGTTGCTTATGTTAACATCTTGCATTTTAATAGGTTTCTGTCAGAAAGGTTGGTTGTCAGGATAAACTGTTGAACCAAAGTGAAGAAAGCAAACATTGCCAGCATGTTAATCACACAGCAGTATTTGCCCAACCAGTAGTTTACTAAACATGCATATTGGGATCTCAAAATAGTTTAAATTGTATTTTTGGCCATCCAAGCTTGTATACACTTGCACTTACTTTAGAGAAAATAGTTTCTATTGTATTTGATAGCTAATATTTTAATCTATTGTTTTTCCATTATTTAATAGTAACATAACTTAATCAAATCATATTACAGGTGCACTTTAGAGACCAACTAATCAGAAAAAGCAAACCAGTCAGCAAAGAAATCGTCAGGAATGTCTGAACAGTACTAGCTTTTTAAAATTAGTGCAGCATTGGCAGTTTTATATGGAAAGCTGTTCTTTTCCAATAAGTAATTGTAACCTATCCAACTAATTAGCTGCTTCCTCCATAATTTGAGGTGACTCACGTTAGGCAGGAAATCTAATTCTTCACAAGTACCGATGGCCTTCTTGCAAGATGGAGGTATTTTCTCCTTCGCAGAACCATCCTCCTTCCCATTGCTCCGATGTTCTCAGCTTGTTGACGCTTACCTTGGCACATTTGTACTTAGACAGTGATATCCTCGTCTGTTAGGGCTAGTGTGTGCATTGTTCATCAGCTCAATATAGTAATAGCGAAGTCAGCCAACTCTTCCTTTTCCAAACACAGAACTTCAAATAGAGCCGCGTCATGTTCAGCCTCCTGGATATCGTCAGGGGAGGCTGCATGGAAGTCTTGTTGTTTGAATAACTGAAAACGGTATGCTTAAAATGTTTCTGAGTGGTCTCTTGTCTCACCAGTGACCATGCCTTTTTCAGATTGTGCAAAGCCCTGGGTAGGTTTTCTGTGAGCTCCTCACTGGTGTCAGTAGCTGCCAACTTTTTATGGGCAAGAAGTTTCCTGTAATTTCACTTAATATTCTGTATTATACCTTGATTCATTGGCTGGATCCAGCCTTCTGATCCATTTAGTGAAAATTTTGTGTGTCATGTATACTTTGCTGCTGTACACGTGATTGTTAGGTAATATCTGTTGTTTTAAAAGTGTCAGTTCCTTTGACATCAATGAAAGCTAGTATGGAAACCACAGTCATTGCACTGTTTCCTCCAACATATGGTTGCCTGGTGGGGCAGTAGGTCTTAGTTGAGATGCACTTATAAAGCCACTACTGTTTTGTCAGCATTCCTGTCAGTAGCTGTATATTTCCCCCAGAATTTCCTGGAGCTTAATCTTTCATCAATCAA